GCAATCCACTCACCTCAGCCTCCCAAAGCGTGGGATTACAGGCTGAGCCACCGAGCCCGGCTGTCTTGGTCCTGTTTTGAGACTCCACGTATATACTAATTGGACTTTCAAAACTGGCCTTTTACCAGACTCCCCTTTGGCATCCCATCAGTCCTTCATCTGACCCGATTCCATATCCGGAGAATTGTTGGTTTTGTTACTGTTGATCTTGGTTTTGTCATTGTTGCTAATGGCACTGATCTGTTCCTGGCCACCAGTTCGTCTATGACTTTGCCTTGGCCTGTCCTCCCTTAACTAACCTCCATCTCCTCATTTGTGGACAAATATGTTCTCTAATCTAGTGCATGGCTGAGACCTGACTTCTATGACCTCAAACCCAACGTGTTCAAAATCAATCATAAACTTATGCTGCAAACAGGCTCATTCCTCTCCTTCATGCTTCTGTCACGTAACAACAGGCTCATTCCTCCATGTTTGTCATGATCTTAGTAATCCTTTGCTTAGCTGGTCTTGAAGTCTTCAAATCAATCTCAGTTTGACTCCTCTTGAAAACAAGAGATAGGAAAGCATATGGTAAGCTATAAGGAGCAATCAGAGCTAAGGTGTTAATCATATGTAACTGGTCACTAACTACTGTCAATTTTTCTTCTGTAAACTTTCACAGCTTTTTCTTCCTTTCTGTCTCACCATCTTAGTCCTGCTACCTGTCACCTTACTCGCTGACCTTACTCGCTGATTCTTGCAACAAGTCAGACTGGGTTGGGGAGAGGCTCCATGTTCCCCAACATTGTCCATAGGGATCACTGAGGCTGTCAGGAGTGCATCTCTGGGAAGGCCTCAGGGTTTTATGTCAGGAAGAGATCCCTAGGGACTTCCTGAGCTCTACTAGAAGAGGATCCCAAGAGAGTCCTTAAGGATGCACTAGGTCTTACTAGGAGATCTCTAGAGATTCCAATCCTGTACAAGCAGAATCCTGGGGGAGTTCCCAAAGCTATGCAGCAAAGGAGTCCTGAGAATCTACTGAGGTTGTCTGGAAGGAGTCACCAAAGATCATTTAGACTGCCCCATGGAGAAGATTCCTAGGTTCTATGGCTGTGGCAAAAAGGGGATCCCTGGAGAGTTCCTGTGGTTTTCATCCATTTAACAATCATTTATGGATGGTTTACCTTGTAAGCTGCTGAGGATGAGATGAGAATAAAATAGAGACCAGTATCTTACAAGCTAAGTATGGAGACCTATAATTAAAATGCAGCCAGGTAAACGTGGCAGGATGTGTACAGGGAGCTTTGGAAGGCCTTGCTCCTAGAGACAAGGTATAACACTCAGTGTTTCGAGAGCTGGGGGCCAGTAACTGCTCTGTGAGAAGAGTAGAGTACTTAAGGCATGGCTGGCATATAATTCAGGTAATCCATATAAGGTACTTTAGCATGACACCTCACATACAGCTAAAACTCAATTAATGTTACTCATCAGTAGTGAAGAGGCACAGGAAATTCAATCAGAGAATACGTATAATCAGATTTTTGTCTTAAAAGAAAACTGGCAGTGGTGTGCCAAGGAGCTCCCAAATTATTATACTAAAACTCCAGTCTGAAATGTCAGTCCCCGAGTTCTCAATCTTTGGTGTAATACCCACAGAAATAGGAGCAAACCACATATCTAACCCCCACCCCATCTCTTATGGAAAAAAAAAAAAGAAAAAAAAGAACTAAGTTGTAAAAAAAAATGTCAAAAAATTTTATTAAACCAAACATATTCGAAATGTCATCATTCAATGCATAGCCAGTATAAAAATTCGTATTTTCATACAACCTCTTAGAAATTCTGTATTTTACACGTCCAGCACACCTCACTCCGGACTAGCCACGTTTGTAGCGCGCGACAGTCTAGTGGCCGGAACCCAGACCAGGGGCATGCTTCATTCTTCAAGCCTCCGCGCAGCCGTGCTTCCCTGGAAGCCTGGACTGGTCCTCACTCTCCTTCGTCCCCTCCATAACGCGCCACGTCCCTCTGTATTTATGCCTGTCGCCTCACTGCACTGGAAACATCCCACCCTCTTAGCACTTACTGATCCCCACTCAGTGCTGTGTTTCGCAGTCCTGGCCACCCCCACCACGGGGCTGTGTCCCCGTTTCCGCGTCACCTGCCGAGGCGTCGGGGACCGTATCTTGCTGCTTCTTGTTCTAGGGCCGGATCCTAGGGACAATAAGAGGAAGCGAAGTCGGACACAGGGTCTGCAAATGCTGAGCTCGAGCCTCGAGTGGCGCTTGGGGTCCGTGGCCGGCAGCGAGCCCTTGGGGTCGGGTAGGCGAACCAGAAACTGCAGACCGTACGGAAAACAAAAACCTGACGGCCACCACTTCCTCAGCGGCGCACATAACGCGCGTCGCTCGGCGTCGCCCTTTAATGCCGTCCGGCGCTCCGCGCGCTGCATCACACGCCACCTGGGACGGAGGCGGGACTTCCGGGCGCGCGTAGGCACAACTTCCGGAGGGAGGCGGAAGAGTCTCTCGGCTCTGGGCTCGGGAGACCCGGGACCACTGAGGGGCCACCCGGGATACAGGAAACGGCCGCTGGGGACTAGCCAGCCGCACTCGGTGTGTCTGGGCTGCTGGTCTGAGGGATGAGGAGGGACCATGGCCAGCGACGGGGCCAGGAAGCAGTTCTGGAAGCGCAGCAACAGCAAGGTCCCGGGCAGGTGGGTGTGACGGGGAGGGCTGGGTCGGGGTCAGGGGTCAAAGGTAAGGTGACCGCGTCGACCCGTTGGGTTGCGAGTGGAGTTGGGGTCTGGGGAAGATAACTTGGGCTTTGGGGAGACTGCTGCGTGGTGTGAGGGGCGTTGGGAGACTCTGGGGTCGGAGCGTGGGGTCTGAGAAGTGACAGTAGCAGCTCGTAGGAGGAGCTGCCGGCAAGTTTTTCCCGAGACTGGCAGGCTCGCTTCTGCGAGATTCCTAGACTCCCTGCGGAAGCCAAAAGGAACTGACTCGGGTCCTGCTGTGAAGAGTTTGGTGGAGTCAGGAAACTGACCGGCGCGAGCCTGCGCCTCTTGGGCAGATTGGTTTTCCGAAGGGGGTGTGGTGGTTTTGACCCACTTGATTTGCCTTGTCTCTCTTGTGGGCTGCTGCTTTTGTCTTCAGTGTGGAAGAGGTTCCCTATGAGTTTCCATGTTCCCACTTTCTTGCCTCAGAACCAACTCCTATCTTGTGTCAGCAGCAGAAAACAAATTAAAAACATTTCTTTTCTTTTTAAATTAAGTACCTGAGATGACCTGGGTTCACCCTGGAAACTGTACAGCTCCAAAGTCCTTGTCTGATTGCTGTGGCGCTGAGCCCTGGCCAGGGCCCTAGGGAATGAGGAGACATTACCTGGAAAATAAAACCTAGTATAATAAAATTAGCCACCGTTGAAAACAGATTAGAGACAAGTAAACTTCAGATTTCCAAAACTTAGTTTGTTTTGCCTTGAAGCTAAAGGGTGAGATTCTGAAAGTTAAGAATTGTGATACCAAAATAACTAAGAATCATTCATAAGCATGGTAAAATAGTTTGTACCTTTATATCAAGAAACACTGTTGTTTGAATGTAAGAATTGAAAACTTTGGAATTCACTGCATCTGGTTAGAAAAGTTTACTTTTCAGAGTGATCTGGGAGTTTGCTGGAATGAGTTGACTGCACAGACACAGTGACTCTGAGAATGAAGAGAGTCATCAGAGGTGGCCAAAGACCTTATTTTACTCTGCAGGATTGTGCTTGATTGAAGGACAATAAGAGTTGTCATGAAAACCAGCGTCAGGGGCCAGGATGTGGTGAAAACTTTGGGATGGTGGATAGGAGATGCTAGTAGTGAACAAATGCTATAGAACATAGAGTCTAAAGAAAAGGAGCCACAGGATAGTGTAACTTTTATGTGTTGCTGTTAGGTCTTGAGGTTTTGGTTCCCATCAATCTAAAATGTAATTCTTAGTAATCAACTGAGATGTAAGAATAATAGAGCTGCTGTGTGGAGTTACACCAGTAAATAAACCTTTGGATTGTTGACTGTGGCTCTTAGTAATTTGTTCTTGTAGTGGATTGAATAGTGTCTCCCTCCAAAATTCATGTCCCTCTGGCACGTGAGAACGTGACCTGTTTGGAAATAGGATTTTTGCAGAAGTAATCAAGGTAAAATGAGGTCATACTGGATTATGGGGGCCCTAATCCAATGACTAGTATCTTTGTAAGAAAAGGGAAATTTGGACATAAGCAGACACAGGGAAAATGACCCTGTGAAGACAGAAGTAGAAATTGGAGCAATGCATGTAGAAGCCAAGGAAAGCCAGGAATGGCTGATAGCCACCAGAAACTAGAAAAGAAAAGGAAAGATCCTTGACATTTAGAGATGTCACAGAGAGCACTTTCCTGCCAACACTTTGATTTTGGACTTCTGGCTTTCAGAACTGTGAGAGAATAAATATCTGTTGTCTTAAGCCACTAAGTTTGTGGTAGTTTGTTTTGGCAGCCACAGGAAGCTAGTACAGTTCCCAACTTTCTTCTGTGAGATCCTGAATTACCAGACTTCCTTTTCCTTTTGAGTTTGATGTGGTACTGTGTCTTAGGCACTTTTGAAAGTGGCTCCTGTGTTATCCTTGTGAAGGGTATGGGGTCTTGGAGAATTGTTAGAGGTTGTCACTGAGGAAGGCAAGAGAAAAACGAGAGGTTGGGCCCACCAGAGGGGTCTGTACAGCCTCTGTGTTATCCATTCTTCCTGAGGCCCGTGCCTCTGGCAGTGCTGCTCTTTCAGGTGATAGGCTGGAACTCCTCTCTGAAGTCGGAGTTGCAGAGGATGCCCTTTTTCCTATCAATAGTGGTGATCAGCCAGGCTCGGTGGCTCAGCCTGTAATCCCGCGCCTTTGGGAGACTGAGGTGAGTGGATTGCCAGAGCCCGCGGGGTTCAAGACCTGCCTGGGCAACTTGGCGAGACCTCAACTCTACAATAAATCAAAAATCGCCCGGGCGTGATAGCGCGCACCTGTAATTCTGGCTACTCAGAAGGCTGAGGCAGAAGGATCGCTGGAGCCCGGCAGGTTGATGCTGCGGTGGCCGGGAGTGGCCACTGCACTCCAGTCTGGGCGACAGAGTGAGACTCTAACTCAAAAAACAAAAAAAAAATAGTGGTGATCACTAGCCACAACTTCGTCTTCACCTACACAAGCGCAGTGCTAGCAGAGATCCTAGACAGGGTCCTGTGACTTTGCCAGCTCTTTCAAGTGTTTCCCATGATTGTTTTACTCTTTTTTGTTGAGTGCAGACCTCAATCCAGGGAAACTCAGGAGGAAGACTACACCCATCATACAATGCAAGACTGTTAAGGGATCTTTTAGATAGTACAATTACCTTAACATTCCTTATGACAATAATAGCTGATACTCATTAAGCACTTAGTTTTTGCCAGGTGCTATTCTTGATATTTTATAAATGTTATATCTACCAGTGTTTTGGAGTTTGCAAAGCATATGCTTTGTCCCCCAACCACATTTACTGAGATAGTCTTGGTTTGAAGCCCCTTAACTGCTTCCCCTAAAATGCCATGCTGAGAAGTGTATTTTTACATGTTGTCTAAGGCAATTTATCACCTGGCCTCCACTCAGTTGTTTAGCTACATCTTCCATTCCTCCTTGCTTTGAACTTTGCCCTCAGCAGTGCTGACAGATTTTTAGTTTCTTGGCATACTATACCATTGATGCCCTTGTCATTTTTATGCCTTCATAGCTGACTAGAATGTTTCTTACCTCACTTTTGCCTACCTTTCCTATTTTTCACTTTTGCAGATTCACTTCTAGTATACTTACTTGTAAAGCTTTATCTGTTTTTATGTAGCCTGTACCAAAGTACCCTTTTTTGCTTCAAACTCAGGATTGATGGTATGTGTTTTTCTTCACTAGTGAGCTCTACAAGTTTAGGGAATGCGTCTTACTCATCTTTGTATTGTTAGTGTGGATGGATGGTGGTTGGTCTAAACTAATAGAGTAGCCTGGAGGGAATATGTGGTTTGGCTAAGGTTATACACTACATGAGAGATGGTCTACTAGTAGACCTCTGTATTCATTGTGCATCTTGGTCCTTAGGTTGCTTATTTGTCTAATGCTTTCTTAGAAATGTCTTTTATAGATGAGCCAGGATGTAGGATATGGTAGATGGACCTCTAACTAGGAGTTAGGTGGTCCAAATTTTAGCTTTCGCTTTCTAATAATATCTGCATAACCCTCACCAAATCATCTCATCCCTGGGACTGCTAGTTTCTGTATCTGTAGCACAAGGGAGTTGAATTAGTCCTAAGTGGGATGGGGGAGATTTGTTTGGCCTAGCCATATCCTTTTTGATGAGAAAAAGAGAGTCTTTTGGATGAGTTTTGAGAGTTTGATAATTTATTCATCCAGCAGATGTTTATTTAATCCATAGTATGTGTTAGAAACTGCTCCATGTGCTAGAGATAACATCAGTAAATAACGTAGACTAAGATCTGTGCTTTCACAGAGCTTGCAGTGCAGTGGGAGAGCAGAGTATAAATAACACAACTAAGTTGAATAGAGAGTTAACTGTTAGAAGATGATAATTGATATCAAAACAACACAGGGAAGAGGGCTAGGCAGCTCAGGGGCAGGTGCAGTGGGGAGAGTTTTGTGGTGATAAGGTGGCCAGGGATCCCCCCCATTGGGAAGGTAACACTGAGGAGAGATTTGCAGGAGGTGAGGGAACAGGCAATGTAGGGGGTGATTGGAGAAGAGTGGTTCAGGCAAAGGGCAAGCAAGTGCAAAGGCACTGAACTGGGAGTGATGCTGGTGTGCTGGAAGAGATGAGCCAGACCAGCGTGGCTATGGCCGAGGGAGGAGCACGAGGTCTGAAAGGCAGTGGGAATAGGGCCTTGGACCTTGTGGTGAAGATGTGGACTGTTATTCTTGTATTCTGAGTGAATTGGTGCCTTTGGAGGGCTTTGAGCAGACATGCGGCATCATCTGCGTTAGGTTCAACAGGATTACTATGACTGCTGTATTGAAAATAGGTCGGAGGGCTGAGGGCAGAAGCAGAGAGAACTGGTAGGAGGCTGCTGCAATGTCCAGGTGAGGGACAGTGGCGACTTGCACTGGAGTAGGTAATACAGGTGGTGAGATGCAGTAGATAACGTGGTAAGAATCAGAAAATTTAACCTTTGACTGTTGGGACCTGTTTTTTCCTGAGCCACTGGCTCTCTTGGCTCCTCAAGGGCTGTTGCTTTCTGCAGTTGCAGTTGGAATTCTTGCCACATTTCACTGTAAATGCCAAGACAGCACAGGGGTTTGAGAACACAGACAGCCTTTCAGTGGGTCCGGTGTTTGCTATTTTAGCTTAGCTCTGCCTGGCAGGGTGTGCTCTGCTGACAGAGGGTATGACGGCAGCTGGGGTGTGTGAAATACAACATTTGGAAGTGGCATGATGGCAAGAAAGACCCAAATTGAGTATGGCAGGGCCATGGGTGCTGGGGATAAAGCTGGAGCAGAAGAGTTCTCTGTGTCATGACTCTGACAGCTTTCAGCATACACTGCCAGTGCCACAAGGCTTCTCTGTGCAAATGAGGTAGTCAGCTCAACAGAACTCCATCCATCCTCAGTTGAAGGAGAGGAATTGTTGGACGATAATGAATCCATGCAGAAAACATTCACGAGCACTTTCAGTGTGCCAGAT